CCCCTTTGGGGGCTGAACGACCTTTTCACAGGTCACCGATTCATAACAGGAGCAAAATTTCAGTTATGAAGTAGCAACGAAAATAATTTTATGGTTGTGGGGGGGGGGGCACCACAACATGAGGAACTGTATTAAAGGGTCCCTGCATTAGGGAGGTTGAGAACCACTGCTCTAGGAGAGGGTAACCAGAAAAGCCCCAGATGGCATATGGGTTATGAGTTAGGCCGCGAACCTCAAATTCACCAGTTCAAAACCACCACTCTCTTGAAGAAGCATGAGGCATTCTGTTCTTATAAAAGACAATTGTCTCAGAAACCCACAGGGGCAGTTCTTTATGCTTTGTCCTACAGGGCCAATTTGAGTTGGGGTTGACTCAATGGCAGTGAGGTTTTTAAATTTTGTATTATAAGGTAAAATAATTTTTGATTTGCAATTGCTATAATCACTACTCTGCTTTATAAAGGAGAGTATGTTCTGTTGGCAACGTAGTTATAAGATTTCCAGTTCTCTGATTTGCTTAAAGAAGCTCGCTGAACTTGAGAAAAATATTGGTATTCCCTTCCTCACACCCCTTTTCTGTGCGGCAGCTGTCTGTGTACTAAATCTCCCTGGCTGCTCTGTCAGGTGTGCCTTTGGTAAAACAAGAGACAAATGTGGTCGAGGTCAGACATATTCCCTTAATGCATTTAACACTTTCTCCAAACCTGTTACCATGCGACCCCTGACAAAATAAAGTGCCTCAAATTGGCTCCTATCATTTGTAACTGATCCGGTGTTACCTTGCTTCCCTCATAACAACAGACATTCGGCCAGGTCTCCCAAATTCCTTAACCAAACTCACGGCCACGGAGTCCATTCCCACTCACAGTGGCCTTAGCAGACAGAGTAGAGCTGTCCCTGTGGGTGTCTGAGACTGTAACTCTTCATGGGAAGAGAAAGCCCATCTTTCTCTGGAGGAGTGGCTGGTGGCTGTTAGCATCTCATCCAATATGACACCATTCCTCCTTGCAACCAAAGGGGTGTGATTTCCACTTCCAGGCACTGATTTGCAGGGTGGCTGCTCTTCCTCACTTGAAGGAAGAGTCAAGAATGTACAAAAGGGAAAAAAATAAAAAATTAAAAAAAAAAAAGAATGTACAAAAGGGAAGAATTACAAATAAGCTGAGATTTCACTTTCGCTACAAACTGAATAAAAAACAAGCTTTTATGGAGCTATTTATCTAGACCATATCTGTGTACGTCCCCCTCACTCTCCCCCCCCCCATACAAATAGAGATTTCAAGTGACTTCAGTCCCACGACTTAGTGACTGTGTAGAGCGGTGTCATGGGTTACTTAAAAAAAAATGGAGTCAGGCAATTTTTCAGTGCCCCCTGGAGGTACAAAAAGCCATCGATCAACAAAAGGCTAAGTATCCTTACAAAAGTATGAGAGGATTTCATAAAATTCACGGGAAAGATCCGGGCGCAAGGTGGAATCTGAGAAGCACCTAGATACCTAGTTGGGAGTCTCTGAAGAGAAGCGCCTAGATCCCTAGTTGGGAGTCTCTGAAGAGAAGCACCTCGATCCCTAGTTGGGAGTCTCTGAAGAGAAGCACCTCGATCCCTAGTTGGAAGTCTCTGAAGAGAAGCACCTAGATCCCTAGTTAAGAGTCTCTGAAGAGAAGCACCTTGATCCCTAGTTGGGAGTCTCTGAAGAGAAGCACCTAGATCCCTAGTTGGGAGTCTCTGAAGAGAAGCACCTAGATCCCTAGTTGGGAGTCTCTGAAGAGAAGCACCTAGATCCCTAGTTAAGAGTCTCTGAAGAGAAGCACCTACATCCCTAGCTGTGAGTCTCTGAAGCCGAGTCTTGAGTCTCAACATTTCGGCTCCAGGGCCTCCTGTGGAAGCTGGGCTCTGAGGAAATGCAACTGAAGATGTGAGAGGACTGACCTCCTCCACAGGGACCTTTCTTATCACCGTGGCCCTGCTGCGACTCACTCCATTTATCTTAAAGAAATGGGATCGCATAGGAAGATGTGGCATTGCGTGCAAAATCTGGTTCCACTCTCTCCTCACATCTGCAAATGAATAGATCCATTGGAATTGCACCTTGTTGCCTCTGATACTCAGCCTCTGGGAATGTTGATATTATTCTAAATAATGTCAAACTTCATTTCCAGTAAGTATTCATCACAAGTGTCCGAAATAGTTCTGTCTTGGCCGTCATCTCTGTGGACCTGTTTTCTTTCTGTAGTTGTGAAGAGTCCGTGACAATGCGTGCTGTTTTTGTGGCAGTCAGCACAGAACCACAATGATATCTGAGCACAGAGCCATTAGTTGGCATGTTGAATAAATGTATCAGTGTGTAAAACAAATTCACGGGAAACTGGAATTAGAAGATAATGAAAAATGTCCACAAACATTTTGGAGCCCCCTTGTACTGCTCGTGCAGACAAAAGGACTCAACAAACAGAGAGCCCGAGGAAGACGGGAGGACAATATCAGTAAATGGACCCGTTAGACACGATACACCAACGGATATGAAAAGCCCGTTGAATATATGTATTTGGTACTTAATCCACATCTCCTAGGGAAAGCACAGATTTAATCATCAAATTAAAGTAAATCTTTCTCAGTGTTACTAGTTTATCTACATCATTTGGATACCCTTGACATTTGATGATTTTTAGTTGCACGACATCCTTACATAGTGAGAGACTTTTCTTTCTTTTTATTGTTATTTTCTAATTTTATTTTCAATTTACATTCATATTTTAAATGCATAACATTACTTTTATTTGGGACAGATTTGGAGTAACTTTTTAGAAAAATCATTTTATCGGGGGCTCTTACAGCTCTTATAACATTCCATACATCAATTGTATCAAGCATATTTGTAGAGAGATTTTTCTTGATATTAAATCTCAAGGATTCAGATGAAATAATATGGCAGCACTGCCACAGAGTAAATTTCCAGTATACAGATGTCAGAACTGAGGACTAAAACAGTAATAGTTTCAGCAAAAAACCAAGAATGTTTTATGTAAATGGTGTGTATGTGTTCCTGTGTGTTATCTATGTTTTTTGTTTTCCTGGTGAGTTACACCAATCATTCTGAGCATGAGGATGATTATGGAAAGCAGTAAAATGATTGGAAGAATTCAATACATTATGTTTCCAGTGTGGTTTTAATTCATAATCTACAAAGCATTAGGGAAAGCTGATTGTAGATACATTAATCAAACCAATGTACCCCCCAATGAACAAGCATCAATTAATGATAATGCAGCCAGAAACAGGCTCTTTTCGTTTCTGGAACATCAACCGCCTGCTTTACGCGTTTCTCCCCCTTCCATGCCTGGTGAGTGCAAACTTTGAAAAGATTGTGAATATTTCAGTACATTCAACAAGCACATCAACAGCTATGCAAAGCCTGTTGAATAACACTTAAGAGGAAGACCATGGTCAGTCAGCATTAGAGACATTTTGATATTAACATCCACGTAGAACAAAGTTCTGGCCGTCCCTGGATAAGAGGGCTTTCCTTCTGGTGTTTTCTTCACTTTTACATACAATAGCAAAACAAAATGAAACAGAACTGTAAAAGTCACTTTCAGAAAGGTGTCAAGTTTGACTTTCACAGGACTTTAGCTGCAAATTCTGTTTGCATATACAATCATTGTGCTGACAATTGCCCATGGCAGGGGAAGCTGGAGAGCGTGCACTCCGGACAGAGGTCACAGCGGAACATCAGTCAGTGACTTCTCCTCAGGTTTTGCTAAGGTAGCCCACATGGTACACGATGGCTTGAAATTAGTTGGGATTCACTACACAGTTGGTCAATTTGAGTGTGGAACAGTGCCAACAAGCACGAGGGGCACCGTCCCTTTCCTATAATGGAAAATGCTACCGTGTGCACCAATATGCACTTAGAAATAATCACGATTCCTGGCAAGTCTAGTCGTTTGGAATGTCAGTATACATAGTTATATGACCTTCAAGGAATTTACTCACCAAAAGAGTCTGAGGAAAATACTGAATACTTCACAAAGCCCACTATATTTAGCAACCCAAATATGTTTTAAAATGGTATCCAATCTCCCAGCTAGACATCTTGAACTATTTACATGGCCAAGCTCCCCAAATCAAAGCAAGCCAGGCGCTCTCACGGGCAAAACTGGACTGCATGTGAAAGGGGAAATGAGACAGTTAAAACCCTCTCAAGACAGTCTCTGTGTCAGCTTGTGTACGGGGTCATTTCTAAAAGCGAAAAGATTCTCCTGAGAGTCACGGATGTCCCTCAAGATCGTTTCGACTCCTCTATCGCTGGACACTCACCTCCCGAAGGTAGCGGATTTTAAAATTCAGACAAGGTGCCAGGACAAACGGTTCACTGAAAATGATATTTACACAACCCATCACTCATTCCTTCAACCATCAAAAAAGGAGAAAAAAAAAGAAGAACGATAGAAAGGCATACTGATTATCCTTAGAAAAGATTAATTTTCTTTTGTATTTAATGCAGTGAATGTATGTAGTCAACATCTGATATCTGATACAATGAAACAAACAGTAATTAGTCATCTGTTAATGGTTACTCTCCACTAAGTGCATCTGAGGTTGTAGAATATCAGGCTTGTGGACATCTGAGGAGACACGGTCAGCACAGAACATACACCTCACATGTGGTATAATCGAATGTTCTTTCCAACAAATTCTCCCATCAATAAAATGTCTGTGGTAACATCAACTTTGTGGTGCATGATGCCTTAGGAACAAGCAGTGATGTATTCGGATGTAAGCGTGTTATTATACATGTGATGTGCTTTTTAGCGCATATTGAGGTCAAAGCCATTCTGTAGAAAGGGAATTTAATCGACATTCTTTCAAGCGTTGTGTATAAACAGATCAAAATAGTTTTATCATAAGAAACAGTATTTAACAATATATTTCTAAAATAAAAAATACTTTAAAATTCAGCTTTGATTTGATTAAATTTATTTTCTTAAAGAATCTTCCATTAGGCTGAAATATATATTTCTCGCTTTATATATATATATGTATATTTCTGGCTTTTCTATATTTTCCCAGCACAACCCCAACCCAAACCCCTATTCTGGTCTATTATTAATAAAGTAGTGCAAAATGCTTTCTGTAACCATTTCAACCTCACTTATCTCCGACCAAGTTAGGAGACACGTTCTCATAGAGTGAGTGCTATCTCCGTAGGCACAACTCCCTCTTGATATACCAGGGAATAGGTCACAGAAACTACCATAGAGCAGTGGGGATGCATTTGAAACAGATTCTATGGTAAGGAGTGAAACATTTTTAAAGGCAACCCCCTCTCCCCATAAGCAGTTTATTTTACAAAACAGGTTTTCATGCACTCATGTGATCAGGAATGACACACCCTCACCTAAATGAACGTAATGAAACACTGGCATATCACTTAGCACACTGCATTCTCCTCTACATTGAAATTCACACTAATAACAATGATCATAGTATGCATTAAAGTATGTCAGTAATCTAATGAGAAAGCAAATAACTTTTGGTTGTTGTTGTTCCCTGGGAGAACACTTGAGTATTAAAGGTTTTTTTTTTAGATGCACAAAGGCAATAATATGACACTAAAAGCAATACAGATTTCGTGTGCTAGTATTTTTGACAATGGGACAGGGTTGCTAATTTACTAAATCAGTACAAATTAAAGTGGTGGTAGTAGTAGTAGTAGTAGTCGTTGATATAAAAGTTCAGTTAGGCAATCATGTATAAACCTGGCAGTATTTATGTATAGTCCTGTAGAGATTTTCAGGTTTTAGATGGAATGATTGAAGGTTTGAAAGTTTTCTTTTCTGAGTTGCAGGGTGTTGAAGATTCTCTTGAAGGGGTTCATGTACCTTAACTTGGCAGCTTAAAATTAGCGTGTGTGTGTGTGTGTGTGTGTGTGTGTGTGTGCGCGCGCGCCAGAGAGTTGATTTCCAACTCACCGAGAGATCGGCCCACCGGACCCACTCGGGGGTTCTGTGGGAGAAAGTCCCTGGCTCCAGTGAAGCGGACAGCCCAGGAAGCCCTCTGGGACAGTTCTAGCTGGCCATGTGAGGTCACTATGGGAAATCAGCACGTCAGTCAAAATAACGTGCATAGGAGCGAATGTCAGAGTCTGAAGTCAGAACCCATGCTCCACAGGAACGGATCCATTCCATGATTCAGGTTTGGGATTTGCCCTCTTTTAAAAGATACAAAGCATACAAAATTGGAATGGATTACTTTCAGGATAAAAAAAAGAGTTACATTAAAAAAAAACTTTTAAATTAAATTGACATTTTACATCTTGTGTAGATTTAATCAGAGCCCACCTGAGCATTTAATTTAATATTCTGGTTCCCCTACTTGTAATTAAAGGAGTGTGTATCTTCAGTGCTATCATTCTTATTTTTTGTTTCAATGTGTTATTTTATTTCCCCACAGCTCACAAGGCTTTCACACGGCAGGAGCTAAACTTTTATCAAATTGATTCTGTACAGTGCAAGTAGATTGCAAAAGACATTTGCCTTTGTACACTATTTACAAATCCTCTCCATCACAATTGAAAAACAAAACAAAACAAAATGGAGGCAAAATAAATAAAAAGCAGAAAGAAAGGAAATGCAGCCGAGGCTGAAGACTTGTCTTTTTATCTTCCCAGCAGATGCGGGTCTCCGCGGTGCTTGGAGCCGGCTAGCCAGGATTGTTTTTCTTCCTTTTGCAGGGGCTATGCGAAGGATCTGGTTTCAGTTCTTGGTATTGCACCTGTTTAAACAGAGTTCAGAGAAAGACTGGTCAGGTGGCCACTTTCTGGCAAAGGAAGGAAAAGCAAAGTAATGAGAGACGGCTTGGGGTTGGGGTTGGGGGCGGGGTGGAAAGAGCTCACTCTGGAAGCCGGTGGGATCTGCAGCTGGACAGCGGACAATAGCATGTTAGAGGCATAGTTAGAAGGGAAACCCTGCCCCAGACGGCAGGGGACTCTGATAAGAACTCAGGTAACAGGCTGTCCATTTCACACATTATTTAAAAGAAAAACCCATTTTAAGAAGTTTTGAAGGGCTAGGTAATAAATTTTTTCAATGCATTGTTTGCTAGTCTCTAGCCAGTCCACTCTTGCGTCTGATATAACTCACTGCCATCCAGTCAGGGCTGACTCATAGCGACCCTCCTGGGTTTCAGACACTGTAACTGTTTACTGGGAGAAAGCCCAGTCTTTTTCCCATGGAGCTGCTGGTGGCTTGAACTGCTGACCATGGAGATCGCAGTCCAATGAGTAACCACGGCACCACCAGGACTCCGTTCTCTCCTGATACCACTTCACAATCGATCTTATCAGGTTCATCCAAAGATGACAAGGCACAGCCGTCATGCAGCTTCTGAAGATCTGTTTTCCTCTGGAATCCTGGCTGGGAATCTCGAGGGAGGTGGTGCTTCTCTGTCGCCCTGGAGGTCACCATGAGTTGGAATCTGTTTGTCAGTGATGGGTTTTATTCATCTCCCTTATATGCCTACTGGCCCATTTTGCTTTCATTGTCTAATATTCTTATTTCCTCCCCTCAGATATTGGTGACGTAGGTGGGTCTTCCAAATTTCATCTGACCCTTACTTGGAAGGGGATTGCCCCTGACAGCCCTGGTAGAGACTTCCCCAAACCTACTCCTCTTCTTCAGCATTCTCTGCACGTTCTTGTTGGATATTACCCCATGTGGACTAAATTCCTGAATGACAAGATATGCCCCAGGCTTTGTTAATGTCACCTGGCTCTTTAAAAATCTGGCCATTAAAAGGATATGAAATTCAAACCCGATGCCACACTAAATTAAAGTAATAATGGCAATAGCAACAGAATCTACATACCACTTGCACATCTGAAGGGACTCTGGAAAGGAAGTCAAGCAGTTCGTTGTTATCAATTGCATATGGACTCCGAAGCTTCTTTGTAAATTTATTGATGCCTAGAAAAGGGAGAGATCAAATATTATTCACATCTCCACCGTGTGGGGACTGTCTTTGGGAGAGCACTTTCCTGGCAAGACGGGGGCCAGTGATTTGGCCATCTAGCATGCATGCTGCTCTGGGGCCTTGGCAGAACACGCCTAGATTCCCGGTGTCCTCTCCCTCATTTCCATTCCTTCTTTCTCGTTTCCCCAGTTTCTCTTCTTCCTCCTCTCTTCTCAACTCAACGGCTGCTTGGGGGAAAGGCTCCCTGTTTGGGGAACCAGAGCTTGCCCTAGCACGAATGAGCAAGGGCACGTGTCTCTCACTTTCCCCCATAGTGCTCGAGTCCCTAGAATCTGTCTCCATGCTTTATTCAAGATGCAACTCATCTTTCTACATGTTGGAGAGGGTTATTTTTAAGACAAGAGGTCTAATTTTCTACACACACCCCCCCAGACATAATTTTGGAGAAGAGGGGGCTGGTATACAAGTTAAATGTTAAATGTTTAGAAGACACATGACCTTGACCCCCTACCCCTGCAATGACCTGACATTTAAAAGGGTTTACCACCATGTTTTGGAAAACATAAACTGTTAATCACTTTATATGAAATTAATAGCTGATTAAAAACCCAGTCATCTAACTTGAGCATCTAGGCTTTCAGTGGGGAAATTTAGTGCAGAATGCCCTTCTTCTGGAATTTTGAGGTTGGTCTCTGCCTCCCCAAGTAAGACTCGCGTCTTAAATTTCTGGTTAATATTTCAGCAATCACCTACCACTAAAGGAATATTGTTCTTGTTTTATTTTATTTCATGAAACACGAGGCCCAAACACATTCCCTAAAAATTACTTGTAAGACAACTAGCCAGAGAGGCCACCCCGGGTTACACAGCCAGATGTCTGCCGTGGGCTCCAGTTTCCGAGAACGCCAGGAGAAGGAGGCTCCCTGCCTACGGTGCAGCTGAGGTGCGTCGAGAGCCCAAGGCGGGTCTGACCCGAGGTAGGTTAGAGATAATAAGTTGCTGCATGTGACACACTACGCTAATTCCTTCAATAAAGCAGCATCTGTTTTAAATATCAGAGGAAGGAAGGGGAGATGAGGGCCTGTGCAATACAACAGGGGAGCAAGACCGTAGTGGGAACGCCTCCTTCCTGTGTCGTGAGAGGCCTGTGCAAGTGGGACTTTCCTGACACCGCAGACATTAGGAAGGGGGAAAATATCATTTCCCCGCAGGTCTACACGGCAGGCTAATGATAACAATACTGGGCATGCTTGTTGAGGACAGGGCTAGCCCAGACAAAAAGGATAGGGAGATAAGAGGCTAACACTGGAGGGTTTGAAGGTGTGAGGCCTTTACTCATTTTGCCCCATGTTCTTCTTTAAAATCCTTAAAACTAAGAAGAAGAAGAAATTCCGTTTGCTCTTTTTGCTTTCAGTGTAAGCTGATGCTTTCTGAATTTAAGGCCCCATTTGGTTCTTTGCATTAAAGAAAACAATTGGTTTAGCAATCTTAAGTGTATGGGGCTGCTGCAAAACGTTCATTTCTATTACCTTTTAAGGCCATTTGTCCAGGAACTCTCTGAAGCCCCATCAGACCAAGGAGAGTAGGAAATACTACTTCTACACCATCTCGCTTACATGTACGTATATATTTGAAGCCGTTAGTGCAGTCTTTTTACTTGTGAGTAGATTTGTAGAGGCTGAAAATGGAGTGTGCCAAAGCAAGAATGTTATCAGGAAAGAGACGCCAACAACCAGAAAGAATGCGGACACTGACCACCTCCTACCTGGAGACTAGGTGCTTGGGAGCTGATGGAACACAACCTATTGGCATAAAAAAAGACCAACGAAACTCCCTTTAGAGGAGTTTTTGCTGACGCATTGTAATTTAGGGCACATAAAACCCGGTTCTTGATCCTAAGCAGACTGTACGTGCCAAAGACCCAGTCCCTGCATCCTAAAGGTGACCCCATAAGCAGGCACCCATGGATGGCCTGTGCTTGCTTACACTTCACAAGATAAAGTACCATGGCACAAAAGCATATTGTCCTAAACGCACCGTGTGGATAGAAATGCCTCTGTTTGTGTGTAAGTGGTGGGAATAAATCAGCCTGCTGTCTAGACAAAGCTACACTGTGATCTATGGGGGAGCTGCGCCACTCCACGTTTATGGCATCATGGAGCCTATGGTGCCAGATAAGAAAAATGCATTTTGTGGGGAAACCTAAATCTTTATGCTGTTGTGATTTTTAACTGGCCTGTCTCTTTTCATCTTGGAGTAGCTTCATGACCATAAATACAGAGAACTACTGACAGTATAACTCATCCCTTAAAAATCATTTGTGTGCAGCAGCAGAGACAGTGAGAAAGAAAAGGCTTTACTCACCCCAGACAAGGACGATGTATCTCAGTGGGATGAAGTACAGGATGACTGTGAACACGCAGAGGGCGACAATGGCCAGCCAGCTTAAGAACGGAACGGTCCAGTTGAAAGTACTACATGAGAAATGAACCCATCAGCTGCCAGAATGAACATTTCAGAGGGTTTTTGTTTGTTTTTCAATATAAGATGAAAACAAATGCAGTTTAGACTCAACATCTGGACTCAGGACCTAGATCATTTGAATTTCTCTCTGGAATAGAAGCCAATTGGATTAGGCTATCAGGAGACACGGATTAGCCATAATTGCTCATTTCTATAAACAGAGTTAAAAGATCGGTGATGAAGGACCTTATAGCTGTCTCCAGATACCCTCGGCGATTCAAGGCCTCAAGCTGTTGCATTAGTTGGGCAACTCCTTGCCTGCTAAGAACAGATCAAAACCAAAACAAATTTCACCTTGGTGTTTCTACTTCTACAACTAGTCTCTAACCTTGTTTTCTCCCGATTTTTATAGAGGAGAATGCCCTTGGGACTGCCATTCTCCCTTCTAATCCCTCTCAGTGTTACTCACACGGAAAATAAAGATGTTGCCAGCCATTGTCTGCAGACCAGTGTTAATCCCACAGAAAATAAATTTGTTGCTAGCCATTGTCTACAGACCTTTTATACTGTAGCAGATGTCTCCGAAGTGTAGACAGACGTCCATAAAGAAAGACTCACTTCCCACCTTAGCTAAGTCTTGAATGGAATGGGAAGACAACAAAGGGGGAGATAGCACCTGACCTTGGAAAACGTCACCTGCCATCATTGCCCTCTTGCAGGACAGCCCTAGATAATTAAGAAAGGAAGTGAGTATTGCCTACTCTGATTCTCCCCACATCCTTGTTGGTAAAAGGGGATGTGACATGTGGTAGATCTATTGGAATGATTGTGAGGAGACGATGGGAGCTGGGAAATGGGGTTTACAGGAGGGCAAGCTCGGTGGTCTTCTAATACCCATGGCGATTGTCGAGTCAGGGGAGGAAGCAAGGCTGGATCTTGACAGTGAGATACCATCAGAACAGAGTTATACCATCGAATAGAAATAAATTACCAAGTTACCAAGGGGGTGGGGGAGATAGTATTAAAGAGGTGGGAAGAAATTTAGGGGAACAAAGCGAGACAAGTAGGGAAAAAGGAAAACAGAGAAGGCAAAGGAAATATTTATGTCAGAAAAGGAAAGGTTATGTAGAAAGGCCAGGAAATAGAACGTGAACATACTGAAAGAGGGTATGGTGTAAACTCATATGCACAAGTTCTGTGGTGAACCTCGGGTAGTTTTTAAGGGAGTGACAAAATGACAAAGGAAGCTGAAACAGTGTGCAGAGCCTCCAGGATCGGTGCTTAAACATGCCACCATTTAAAGTATACTATTGCTCACTTTGAACCGTTCATCAATGCACCACTGGCAAAGAGGCAGTGACATGGGGGAGAGTGACTCTCTGGCACAGTCCTGCGAAAAGAGCCAAGGACTTAGCAGCTTTGATTTCAGAGCCCAGATTCTGCTATGTGACTTTAAGTGAGTCAACCTCTCTAAGCCTCCATTGCCCCCGTTATAAAACGAGGGCAGCTTTTTCAAAAAATAATCATTTTATTAGGGGCTCATACAACTCTTATCACAATCCATACACACATCAATTGTGTAAAGCGCATTTGCACATTCATTGCCCTCATCATTCTCAAAACATTTTCTCTCCACTTAATTCCCCCGGCATTAGGTCCTCATTTTTCCCCTCCCTCCCCTCCCCCTTCCCTCATGAGCCCTTGATAGTTTATAAATTGTTATTTTGTCATATCTTGCCCTGCCCGACATCTCCCTTCACCCATCTTTCTGTTGTCCATCCCCCAGGGAGGAGGTCACATATAGTTCCTTGTATTCGGTTCCCTCTTTCCTACCCACTCTCCCTCTACCCTCCCTGTTTTGCCACTCACACCACTGGTCCTGTAGGGCTCATCAGCCCTGGATTCCCTGTATTTTCAGTTCCTATCTGTACCAGTGTACCTCCTCTGGTCTAGCCAGACTTGCAAGGTCGAATTCGAGTCATGGTGGTGGGAGCGGGGAGGAAACATTTAGGAACTAGAGGAAAGTTGTATTTTTCATCGTTGTTACATCTCACCCTGACTGGCTCATCTCCTCCCTGAGACCCCTCTGCAAGGGGATCTCCAGTGGCCTACTAATGGGCTTTGGGTCTCCACTCTGCACTCCCCCCATCATTCATTATGGTAAGATTTTTTGTTCTGATGATGCCTTATACCTGATCCCTTCGACACCTCGTGGTTGCATAGGCTGGTGTGCTTCTTCCATGTGGGCTTTGTTGCTTCTGAGCTTGATGGCCGCTTGATTACCTTCAAGCCTTTAAGACCCCAGACGCTATACTTTTTCATAAAACGAGGGCAGCTTTTATTGTGTTTAAGGAGACTGGTAGTGATGGAGGGAGCCGTGGTGGGGCTTGGGCTGCTAACCACAAGGAGAGCAGTTCAAACCAGCAAGCTGCTCCTCGGGAGAAAGATGAGGCTGCTCCTGTAAAGATTTACAGGCCAGGAAACCCTAAGGAGCAGTTTTATTCCATCTTAATAGGGTTGCTATCCATGGGAATCGACTAAATGACAGTGGGTTTGGTTTGGGTAAGGATGGCCCAGGTTTATGAATCAAGGGGACATTATCAGAGGTGTTCAACGCCAACGAGTCAAAACATTGGATTGGATTTCTTCTTGAAAGGGTCTAAGAAAGTCTCCTTAAAGAACCCCTAAGGAATTCCAGGGAAATTTAGGCTATATCGATTTAGAGTGGGATTTGCTCAGGGTAGCATCTGGGGGTGGGACGAATAATTCACATGCTGGGCTGCTAACAGAAAGCTGGATGATTCGAACCCACCCAGAAGAGAAGCCTGGCAAACCACTTGTGGAAAGACCCGCCCTTGGCGTCCGGGGGGTGGGCAGCTCAACAGTAACTCTGGGGTCCAATAAAGGATGACTGGTTTAAGGAACCCTGATGGCTTGCGGGGCTATGGGTTGGGCTGCTAACTGCAAAGTTAGCACTTGGAACCCCCCAGCCAGTCTTAGGCAGAGCCATGAGGCTGTCTACTGCGGGGCAGATTCAGCCTCGGACACCCACTGGGGCAGTTCTTTGTCCTAGATGATTGCGATGAGTCGGAATCAACTCGACGTCCGCTGGAGTTGAGAATTCAGTAGCTGGGTCTCATTCAGAATTCATCCCCCAGTGGCACGGAGCTTGTTTTCTGGGGTCTCGCTGGGCCAGCTTTCCCTAAAACTGTGTTTTTATTTAATAAGAAAGCCCCTCTGGGTGTGTCGTTCACAGTGACTCTTCAGGAAGTGTGTCTTTTTCTTGTTATGGGTGAATGAGGTCCTGTGAGGGGCATCAGGTAAAGGATCACGACTTTCCTCCTTCCCAGGTACCTGTGTCTCCTTTGTTCCTGCCACCATGTGTGGAGTGCAGGTGGCTGGGGCTCAGAGCCACTCATCACATGACTCCGGAGTGCGGGTGAGCGTCTGGCTCTGTGCTCGGAACCCCTCCCGCAGGCAGCTGACCTGGGGGCTCCCTGTGCCCCTTACTCCTTTGGGGGGGACATGTGACCAAGAACCCTCAGCAGTGCAGATTAACGTCAGAAAGTAGGCAGCCCCCGTCTATTTCTACATTCTGTATTATGGGCCTTTGTGTAAATAGCAGCTCTCCCTCCCAATTGAGATGGTGTTCAAGAAAGTTCTGGAATGGTTGTATAGTGACTACAAGGGGCAGTACGTACAAAGATCATCCCCTTTGTGCTTAAAGGCTACCTCTGAGTGTGCTTTCTGGATGGGTGTTTTGTTGTTGCTTTTCAAATCCCACGTGATTCAAGGAATACTTCTCTCTTTTTAGCCCCGAATGCCCCTGGGTGGTACCCACTCAGCGGCTAACTGAACGGTTGGAGTTTTCAGCCC